GTAGGGCGAATAACAGCGGATACATATTTTCGTTTGACTTCCAAACACACACATTTCTTCTATATTCTCTATTGTCTGTATATCTTCTAACTTAATGACTTGATCGAGTTCAGCATTATTGTGTTTTTTATTTTCATTTTTGTTCACATTTGTGAGCTCTCCTTCATTCTCCCTCCCAATCGCAGAGCCAACATTATCCCTCTCCTTTAACTCTCCCTCCGAAATTGATAATTCATTGGTCTGAATGTTTGCTTGCGATTGTTCAGGAAGCTCACTATGTGGAACAATTTCTGCTCTACATCTGTAAATTCCTTTAAAAAAAAAAACTATTTTATTTGCCAGTTTATTGTAAACTTTAAACACTTTATCATCTAAATAAATACTGAACCTTGCATCAGCCAACTTTCTTAGATATAGTAAATTTTTGGATACTTTCTTTGCTGCAATTACATTTGTTAATTTAATGACTCTCTTTTCTTTTTCATTTGTTATTAGCGTAAGATCTCCTTTACCATCTATTGAAATGTTTGCAAGCTCATTTTTATTCCCGCATTTAATAACTCTATCTTTACATTTTTCAAACTTTGACAGAATAAAATTCTTATTCACAATATGATCCGTAGCACCCGAATCTGCAGTAAAATTGACTACCTCTTTTGAACTATCTCTATCTTCTATTAATTTAACCATGTATTATTTACCTTCTTCTGATTCTCCTTCATTTGCTGTTTTCGTTGATATAGGTTTCTCAGCTGGTTGTATCTTGGTTATTTTCCCTTTGTTATCTACTCTTTTTGTGCCTTTTTGCACAAATCTACCCTTTTTCTTTATGTTTTTATTAACGGTTTTATTTAAATACCTTTTTCCTCTAGCTCTGTTCGCCTGGGCTTCGGCACTCGGACAATTATCACCCTTGTGACCTCGTACTTCCTGGCAGTAGTAACAAAACCAGGCACCAAATTCTATTAGTGGACAGTCCTTTGCCATATGACCCATTCGGTTGCATCTGTAGCATTTCACTTGTTTCATGTTCTCTTCTGCAGCAGCCCTCTGTACCCTGACTTCGGGTTTCTCTAATTTTTCTCTATTCTCGTTTTTAGTCTCTGCTTCTAACTGCATCATAAAAGACTTTATTTCATCTATGTTCATTTCTTTAAGATTAGTTTGTCTTCTAATTAAATCTACATTCCTCAGCTCTGGTACATTAATTGACACAGCCTGATAAAGTGCAGATCTAATCTCTTGTTCTGCGAGGGGTACCGCATCTTCACATGATTCATATTCTCTAATTATTGAATCGAAGCGTTCACAAAAATCACTTACTTTTTCGTCTTTTTTCATTTTAATTTGATAGAGTTTAGCTCGTACCGATGCATGAGTAACGTTTACTTCACTCTTTTTATATCTTCTCAATTTCTTCAAAATTTCTTTCGGATTTTTTTTTTTTATGTAGAATCCTTTTATGATAGTTTTCATCTAAATGATTGATTATTATATCTCTAACAAGACTTTTTCTCTTAGCAACTTTTAGTTCGGAGAGATTTTCTGGACTTTCAATGTTTGAATCTATTACATCTAACAACTCGTTATTCATTAACTCAAATTTTAAATAATCCATCCAAAGATTAAAGTTGGATTTTTGCGTCAGCTTATATTCTCTTCTAATATGCAACCTTTGACTGTTCAATTCCAATTCTATAGCTCTTTTCATTGTCTCTAAACTCCTATCTTTTTCGGCTGAACAGACTGTTATTTCATTTAATTTTCTCTTTTTAGACTCTACCTCTAGTTCTTTAACCGTTTGTTTACTGTTTTCTACTGAACTTTGGGTATCTTTATTGCTTACCTCTAAACGTCTAAGTTTAACTTTTTCTTTCTCTAAGTTTAAACGGGAGACTTCCACCATATTCTCCATCATCTCGGTGGCCTTCTTCATTACTTTATCCAGCATCTGCATCGAATTGTCCATTTTCTCAACCATCTTTTCTTGTTTCTCGTAAAGTATCTTTGTCCCTATAGGTAGTACAGGACAATTTTCAGCCCATTCTCTATTCACATCTATGTTTTCTATTATCTTTGGTTTGCCGCGTTTCGGGATTGCACCCTTTGCTTCAGTCTCCTTCTTGTCTTTTGCTTCTATACGGAATTTTGAAATTACTATTTTTATTTTCTCTGAATGCATATATATATTATTCTTCTGGACTACTTTATTTTCAAAAAAATACTCTCTTACCTCTATCTTTTCTTACTGTCTCCTCGTTTTTATCTTTTGCTTCTCTATCTATTACCGTGATAAAGCTGCTATCGCTGTCGTAGTCGACTAGCGCATCTTGGCCTTCTTCTTCTTCCATCTATATCGGGATTTAAATATCAACTGAACATTAGCATTCCTCTTTTGACAAGATAAACCAACATTCGTATTGACAAATAATAATTTACAATTTCTATCACTAGATCTCTTTCAGCGATAAAAATTTAATGCTTATGAGGCTATATAGAACGCACTGCAATTCACAATAACCCCAAAGCGAGAAAACCACGCGCCTCTGCAGGGCTATCCGCACGCGCACACCACTGTCCGTTGCGATCCCCAGCACTGCTGAAAAGATCTATGGGAGCTCGGGTTGATCACGCACACGCACGGGGCCCATACAAATTTACGCGGCTTCCCTAAACAGTAATCAAGCTACACCGCACAGCAAGTCATGCTCAATTACCGACCCGATACATATCGATTTCAAAAAAAA